GTGTGTGTGTGTGTGTGTGTGTGTGTGTGTGTGTGTGTGTGTGTGTGTACCACATCTTCTTTACCCATTCATCTGTTGATGGACATCTAGGCTCTTTCCATAGTTTGGCTATTGTGGACATTGCTGCTATAAACACTGAGGTGCAGGTGCCCCTTCAGATCACTACCTTTGTATCTTTGGGGTAAATACCCCGTAGTGCAATTGCTGGGTTGTAGGGTAAGAGCTGCATAATTTTAACTCTTATATTTGTAAGGAAGAGATCTAATTTCACACTTTTGCATATAGATATCCAGTTGTCCCAGCACCAGTTGTTTGTTGAAAAGACAGTTCTTTCCCCATGGCATTTGTCTTGACATCCTTGTCAACAACTGACCATAAATGTAGAGGCTTATTTTTGGACTATCAGTTCTATTCCATTGATTCTATTCCATCTATCTTTATGCCATTACCACATTGTCTTGATTACCGAAGCTTTTCGTAAGTTTTGAAATCAAGAAGTGTTAATACTCCTATTTTTTTTCAAGATTGTTTTGGTCATTCCAGGTCTTTACTCTTTCATATGAATTTTAGGATCAGCTTGTCAATTTATGCAAGAAAGTAATCTGAGATTTTGATAGGAGTGGATTGAATCTGTAGATCATTTGGGGGAGTACTGTCATCTTAACAATATCAAGGTTTCCAATGCATGAACATGTGATGTTTTTCCATTTATTTAGATCTTTTAAAACTTTTTTTATTAATGTCTTATTGTTTTCAGTGTATAAGGCTTGCATATCTTTTGCTCAATTTATTCCTAAGTATTTTATTCTTTTTGATGTTACTGTAAACCTTGTCATATCTGTTATTAAATTATGCTAATAAAATAAGCTGAAAGGTATTCTCATTTTTCCTAAGCTCTGCAATATTTTGTATAGGTTGGAATTATCTGTTCTTTGAATATTTGGTAGAAGATGGGGGTAAAACCATCTCAACCTAGTGTTGTTTTCTTTGTCAGGAGGTTTTAAACTAATTTCTTTAATCACTACAGAATGATTCAGGCTTTCTATTTTTTCTTTAGTTGGGTGTGGCAAATTTATTTTTTTCTAAAAATTCATCTAAGTTTTAAGACTTACTGGCATAAGGCTGTTCATAAGTTCTTCTTGTTATGTTTTAAATCTCTTTACCACCTTTTGTTAAGTCCTCCCTTTTATTCTGAGTATTGTTTATAATGCCTTCTTTCTATCTCTCTTTTCTTGTTCACTCATGCAAGAACTTTATGATTTTTATTAATCTTTTAAAAAACCCAGCTTCTTTTGGATTTTTTTTTTTTTTTTTGCTTTTCTTGTGTGCGTGTGTGTGTGTGAGGTTCCATACAAATTTTAGGATTGTTTGTTCTATTTCTGTGAAGAATGCCATTGGAATTTTGATAAGGATTGCCCTGAATCTGTAGGTTGCTTTGGGTAGTATGAACATTTAAGCAATATTCCAATCCAAGAGCATGGAATATCTTTCTATTTATTTGTGTCATTTTTTTCCATCAATATCTTATAGTTTTTATGTATAGGTCTTTCACCTCCTTGGTTATATTTATTCCTAGGTATTTTATTCTTTCTGATACAATTGTAAATGGGATTATTTTCTTAAAATCTTTTTCTGATAGCTCACTATCAGCTCACTATTTGTATCTTGCAATTTTCCTGAATTTGTTTATTAATTCTAACAGTTTTTTGGTAGAGTCTTTAGGGTTTTCTATATGTATTACCATGTCATTTGCAAATAGCAACAGTTGTACTTCTTCCTTTCTGATTTGATGCCTTTTATTTCTTTTTC